CTGCACACAATTAATAATTCTAACGCTGTATTTTATCACTTTGAGGCAAAGTTATAATACTGAACAGAAACAAAAGCCTCCTTGCCAAACCCTTGGTTCCCTTTAATCTACCTGCTTTGCCACCTGGGCCAGATGAAGATTAACTAATCCAAAAGCCACAAAATTTGGTGTGGCTGTTTCTTTGGTAACTTCTCTTTGTTCAAGCCACACATTTACTATCCAGATAAAGACCATTAAAATGACAAAGGATGGGGTGCGTGAGACCAGTGCTACCATCCTTCCCCCGGTGGACTGTGGGAATTCATGTTAGGTCACATCAAAACAAAGTTAGGCTTAAGGATGATTTAAACACTTTGAGAATTCCTTAACATTTGATGCTATCCAAAAATAATGATTTAGATTTTATTTTAAATAATTCTGTACGGCATCGAGGCCCCCTACATAAAGCAGCTTTAAGTGAAGAACAAAGCTCTGTTGATGAACAGGAAATAGCTGTGCGTGCAGAACATAGTCTAGAAGCATATGCACTGATTTCAGTAGTGGTTGTGGGGTGCAGAAATCTGACTGATATTTTTCTTCATTTTTTTATCACTTTATGCTAAAACAATTTTTTACTTGAATAATCTTTTGTAAGGAAATCTAGAGAAATTTTCTTGGCTATTTTAAAGGCAAATTGCAAACATTTTTTATAATACTAATTTGGTTAGCACTGAACATATCAAAATTGTTTTGTATCACTGTCATTAAAAAGAAAGCATTAACATATGCATCCATATATGCATATATTTATCTATTATTAAGTGAAAATAAAACAAAGATAAAATAATTATTAAAGTTACTGCTTTACTAATAGTAGAGATAGTAGCAATAGGATCAAACTATGCTTAATTCTTTTCTATATTTCTGGCTTAACCTTGTGATACAGCAATTCAAAAGTCTGGTTTAAAAATGGAATTTAATAAAAATAAAACTTGCAACAGTTCAAGCTGATATGAAAGTCAGTAGCAGAAAACCATTCTATTGCCTGAAGTTTTTAGACTCTAACCCTTGTGTTTCCAGTTTCTTCAGAACTTAGAGCAGAATTTTGAAAAAGTAATTTCACTAATGAATGCCCATCTTCTTTGGCTGTGACTAGTTTTCCCCAGAAAACGAGAAGAAAGACCATTTAGAAACCTTCAGCCAAAGGTAGCAACATGGTTTCAGAATGCTTCATCTGAAAGCTATTTACACAGGTAGGAAAACTCTGTGTCTGTCCTTTGTAAGAGTGAAAATATATAAAATTGTGTGACATTTGTATTTTAATTGTTTTTAGAAGAAAAGAAGCACGGCACTGTGACATATAAAAGTCCTTGCCCTAACCCAAGCCGCTGTTGGAAGTACCATGCTCAGTGATGGTTAGCACATTTTTCCAGAGGAGAAAGAGTAAATACTAACAATCTGACAGGTCACATGCCTTTGGAAGACGCTGGTCATCACGGGACAGAGAGCTCCAAGTGTTTGCGTGGCACACACATTTTCATGGTCACTTTGCTTTGTATCTCAAACTGTGAGGACATTAAACTACAGTGAGGGTCTTATTTCTATAAAATGATCGGAGGTTAAGCAGTCTCTATACTTCTGTTTGAATCTCTTTTAAAATGTCATCCGCTGGAACTGCTTTATTGCTTTTCATAAAGCATTGCTCTTATGAAGGACCTTATTTTGCTCATAAGGATACATGTCTTTCATACTTTTTTTACCCAGGGGTTCGAGGAGGAATTACTTAGATATTTTGGGACTGAAGAGAATTTAGCTGATACCACAAACTGGCTATGCTTCTTGCCAGCTTCGAGGCAAAACTTCCATAATTCCTAGATATTCTCTGCTTCCTTTACCAATGGAGCTCTGACTCTCCCCATCAGCAGATCTTTTGTGTGTGTTTATTTCATCTATTCTTTTTAATTTTAACAAGAAATACCTCTATATTCTCTGAAGATAATCTGACTTTCTGTCTATGGCTAGAAAGAAATATTTCTTTTTGGAAATCTCTGAAGTCAGTATTGTAAAGCTTCTAACATCACTAAAAATATTTAGATAATATAATCATAATCTGCTGATTCTTAAAAATATTTTACTAATCAACTAGCTTTGTAGTATCACTGTTTAACATTTCATGGGATAATTTATACTTAAGAGTTGAGTAATAGTGGATAATGCATGTAAATTCCTATTTTGTATAATGGTAATAATTTCAATCTTTAGACACAACATCTAATTGCACCATTTTTGCTTTTGTTTTTCTTTCTTTCTTTTTTTTTTTTTTTGATTTTCTGAAACAGGCTTTTTCTTTGTAGCCTTGATTGTCCTGTAACTCACTCTGTAGATCAGGCTGATCTTGAACTTGCAGAGATCCACCTGCCTCCAGAACGCTGCAATTAAAGGTGTGTGCCACCACCACATGACTGCTTTTATTTTCTTATAAGAAAGCTCTTAAAATACTAAAATTAGAACCATCAGATCTGTCAGCTCTGGAAACTCCGTTCTTTGCTTTAATTGTTTTTGTTATGTACTTAATAGTTTCTTAACAAGATTTTTTTTTGATTCTTATGTAACACGTACTAACTTTTTATTTTTGCATTTGTAATCCTGTCTGAGCCTCCTGAGTGCTGGCATTTCAGGCCTGGGCCACCACATCTGGCTGTGTGAGACTGTTTTTAGACCCTGTATACATTTTGTGATGCATAGTTTATAACATTTTCCGTGAATTCACTTGTAGTAAAGAGAAGCAGGCTGCATTCCCAGCACCGGGCTAGCTTAACCCCCCGAAATAACCACACGGAAATTGTATTAATTAAACACTGCCTGGCCCATTATCTCCAGCCCCTTATTGACTAACTCTCACATATTAGTTTAACCCATCTCCATTAATGTGTATCGCCACTTGACTGTGGCTTACTAGCATGAATCTAACCAGTCCGACTCAGAGAAGAGAGCTATGGAGTCTGCCACACTGCCTTTTTCCTCTCAGAATTCTGTTCTGTCTACCATGCCCATCTAAGGGCTGCCCTATCAAAAGGCCAAGGCAGTTTTCTTTATTCAACCAAGGAAAGCAACACATAGAAAGAAGACCCTCCTACACCATTCACTTACATTATTATATGGGCATATGCCAAAGTGAAAGGCTTCTCTGGGAAGTCCTAGGAACTATAGAACCCCCAATTCTTCCTTCCTCTAGGATACTTTATGCTGATTTAACCTGCTGACCAAATGCGAGATGAATTGTGAATCTGCAGAATATCAATAGTTTACTTTTTCTTAGTTGAAGGACGAAGGCTTAAAAACCTCCTCAAAAGTCCCACCAAACCAAAACAAAAAACTACCAAAAACCCATAAAACAAAAACAAAAACAAAATAAGGGATTTGAGATACATAGCTCAGGATACAGTGCTTGCTTTTTCTTGGAATTCAGAAAGTTTGGGGTTGGTCTTCAACAGACAGTGGAGTGCACAGTACAGTAAAATCAGAATAAAGAACAGTAACCAAAGAGAAAACAGCAGAAGTGGTAACTGGTCTCTGTAGAGAGCAAATACCACTGGTCTGGCCGAGATAAGGCAGACAAAGGCAGTACACAAGTCAGGAGAGCTGTGCTCTCCATTGAGCTCAGAGGTAGGAAGTAGACCAACGTGAACCCAGGTTGGTAGCATCCGCTCGCTGCCCTCTATCAGCAACAACTACAAGTTCTTTTAAGGTAAAAGTCTGGCATGTATGAAAACTGGAATCATCACATATCACGATCCAACAGAGAAAAGTTTATGCTCTAACATTTTCAAAAACCAGGCAAGCGTCACCGCAAATATAAATTGGAGGACGAAACTGTCAGAACCGCATCATTTCTGCAGCAGTTTACACATAAAGTTGAGTGAGGGTGGACTTTAGTTCTGCACAGTGGGATGAATTTTTCACACCATCCACGATGGAGAAGTGAGTATTGGACTTCACTTCTCACAGCGCAGAACTGCTAATCTAGAAAGAAATGTAAGGCAACTGACCTTCGGTTGGACAATAGATACCGGGACCTTGAGATGAGAGAAACAAAGTGATCCACGTTCTCACTGACTTTCTGTCTGGGGTTCTTCTTCTTAAACATAGCACACAGATGTGGACGCTAACCCAACAGTGGGCTCACTGGCTAGGAACTAGAATGACTGAAGTTCACCAGGCAGTGGTGGTGCACGCCTTGAATCCCAGCACTTGGGAGGCAGAGGCACAGAAGTCAGGCAGATCTCTGTGAGTTCCAGGTAAGCCTGGTCAACAGAGCGAGTTCCAGGATCCAAAGCTACAGAGAAGCCCTGTCTCCAAAAGCAAAGCAAAACCAAAAAACAAATAAAATGTCTGAAGTTCAATGATAACAAGACCTTTTATGTTTGATGAGCAGGATATCAGAAATGAGGGACTTCTACTCAGAAACCTCTCACATGGACTCTCTCTTGTTTATTAATTAATTAATTAGTTGTAATTTAAAGCTTTTGGCAGTACTCTGAGAAGTTTGGCATGGTTTACTATTGTGTATGTTTTTGAGGGATTTTTACTATCTAATATCTTGATGTGTTGGGGGCAGAGAAGGTAAATTGCCGTGTTAAAAGAATATATTCTGCCAGATTGCTTCATTTAGCCTTAATAGAAGAGTAGATGCCTAGCCTCACTGCAACTTGATATACTTTGGGTGGTTGATATCCATGGAAGGGCTGCCCATTTTCTGAAGAGAAACAGAGGAGGAGTGGGTAGGGGTGAGCAGGTGGATGGGAGGAACTGGGGCGAGAGGAGCAGGGGAAACTTTGGTTGGGATGAAAAAAAAACAGAAAAAGAATTTGTTCTTACAAAACAGCATTCAATGATTTGCCATCTACATGGAAAATGATATGGTCTGTTTTTAATTTTAATTTAATTTTCCTTTAATTTTTTGTTTTCGAGACAGGCTTTCTCTGGGTAGCACTGGATGTTTTGGAACTTGCTCTGTTGATCAGTCCTTGAACTCAACCTCTGCCTCCCAGTTGCTGGAATTAAAGGTGTATGTCACCATTACCTTGCATTTTAATTTAATTTTCATTTGTTTGTGTGTCTGCATATATTTGTCTGTGTGAGTGTACTTATAATACTTATAATTGAGCAGCAAGTGCTGTTATGAGCTACATCTTCCAGCCCTATAATTTTGTTTTAAATAGTGATCATTTAGAATACTGATTAATGACTAGAGATCGGGGAAGGGGGTGGTAAAATAGGCGCTAGATAAAGAAAAGCGGGTTTAATCAGTCCTTGTAGTATGCTTGTGTTGAACTACTACCCTGGGCCTTAATAATATTTATAATTAATTCATGTTAGTTAAGAACTAAATATAAGGGGATAGACACGCTGTGAAAACACTAATCGAATAAAGGCTACTGTGGCTATATTAATATCAGACAATTCTGAAGAACAATTATGAGGGACTTGGAGAAATGATTATGTTAGTAAGATAACCAATTCACTAAGGAGACATAGCCAATCCAAATACATGTGCAGTAATCAAAGCCAAATCACAAAGTAATAACACTGCAAAGAAGTAGAGACAAATAGCCAATAGGTTAAAAATGGCAATGCCCCTGTCTCAGTAATCCATAAAAAACCAGTTTAGAAATCAAAGAATGGTAGTATGTATGAAAAAATGGCCCCTATGGATTCATATATTTGATCTTTGGTCCCCAGTTGGTGGGAGTGTTTGAGAAGGCTCAGGAAGTGCAGCCCTATTGGAGGAGGTTTGTCAGTGAGGGCAGACTTTGGGGTTTCAAAACCCAGTGCTGTTCCCATTGCTGTCTGCCTCCTGCTTGCAGTCCAGAGGTGAGCTCTCAGCTGTTCCTATCTCCATGCCTTCACTCTCCCATCATGGACTCTAACTCTCTGGAATTGTAAAGCCAATTAAATGTTTTCTTTTATATGTTGCCTTCGTCATGGCGTTCTAGCACAACAATAGAAAAGAAAATAAGACACGGGGTATGATGTAGATGGGCCTTCTGTCTATGTGTTATTTTCATTGTTTAATAAAGAGACTGCCTTGGCCGTTTGATAGGACAGAAAATTAGGTAGGTGGAGTAAACAGAACAGAATGCTGGGAAGAAGGCAGTGAGGCAGATGCCATGGACATGCTAAATCTTTCCCAGTAAGCCACCACCTCGTGGTGCTACACAGATTATTAGAAATGGGTTAATCAAGATGTGAGAGTTAGCCAGTAACTAACTCTCTAGAGATAATGGGCCAGGCAGTGTTTAAATGAATACAATTTGTGTGTTGTTATTTCTGGGGCTAAGCTAGCCATGCGGAAGCCGGGCGGGATGAAAAGCAGGCCTGTCCTCAGCTCCACACTACAGGGGTACAGAAAACACGAACAATATTATCAGCCATATTCCTAAGAGACATTTAGAGAGCAATGTGTCAGAGAATGACAGCACGTTCCTTTCACACACACATACTCTATTCACCAAGGCAGAGAGTTGTTGGAGTATAGAACAAACTTCCACATGCGGTAATAAGAAGAAGTGCATGTGCATTCCGTATAATAACGACATTAAATTAGCAATCAGTAATATTTTTAAAGCCTGACACATTCTCAGACTGTAAAAGTTAAACAGCAAAAGCACCCAAATAACATAGAATAAAGTAGATAAATGGGTAAACTAGAGCATATAAATAAAAAATATAGCATACAAAAATTGTCGGGATAACTGTAAGCATTAGATAGTTCAAAACTTTCTTTTTCAAGAAGAAGAAAGTCTAAAACCAATGAGGTATTATACTTGTGTGTCAGGGAAAGAACAGCGCATTGAATCAAAACCACAAAAAAGAAAGTCAGCTGTAGAAATGGAGATGAGGAAACCGGAGGGAAACAGTGTAATCCAAATCTGTTTGTCTGGGACTGGAGAGAAGGGTCAGTTGTTAGGAATGAGAACTCCACTATCACAAAGCTCGGGTTTGGCTCCCTCACTGCCACCCGTAAACCCAGCTCTGTTGAAATCTGACCCCTCCAGGCTTCAGGGGCGGCATCTGCACTTAAATCCTCGGCCACACATATACCTATACACATAACTTTTAAAAATTAAAAAAAAAAATCTTTCTCGAGAAAAAAAAAAAGCTAAACTAAGCTAAAGTTTTAAATCTACAGCCAAACTAATCAAAGACAATAAAGAGAGAAGATATTGATTAAAAACATTAGGCTTGAAATATGGGATATTACAACATAACAAATACTAAAAGCAAGGAAGGAAATATTAATTTTATGCTGATGAATTTGACTACTTAAATGAAACTAATCAACTCATTGAAGGAAAAAAATGCCAAAGCTGCTCTCAAGCTATTTAACAGATTTTTCAAATGACTCTCAGGAAAAGTGCTATGATAGCCAGCATGCTACCAAAGAAAAACCAATTAGAGAGCTTACAAATTCTGATTTAAAGACTCTACTGGACATTTTTAAAGCTACCAGACATTTTTAGAGAAAGGAAAAACATAAATTAATAGCCCAGAAATAATATCTCAGAGAAATTATATGCAATTAAATTTTGATTATTATGACAAAGCAATCCATTTTAAAGAGAACATTTTCAACAACTGGTGCTGGATCAGCTGGATCTCCATCCACAACTAATGAATATTGATCTATACCTTAAACCTTGCTCAAAAACAGAGTCAAATGGATCATAAGCCTAGCGCTGCAAATGTTTAGAAGAAAACAGTAGAAAATCTTCATGATGTTGCACATGAGAAGCATTTCTGAGACATAATAACAGAAGCATGATCAATAAAGGAAAAATGATAAACCTGATTGATTTTGTCAAAAGGCAGAATATCCCTCGGAAGGATACTGCTGGAATAAAAGGACTAACTGTAGACTTCAAAAAAGTACTGGGGTTGTTTGTTGTGTGTCTCTTTTGTGGCACTGGAGAATAAGTCTGGGACATCACATGATTGAGTTATATCCTCAGTCTGGGAAATATTTTTAATCATATATTTGATAAAGTACTTGTATGCAACAAGTAACTAGAGAACTCACAATACTTAAATTTTTTTTTAAAGAAGAAAAGAAATTGATGGTGTGATGGCTACTTTCGGGTGTCATCTTGACTATATATGGAATGGATTATAATCTAGAAATAAAGGATATACTTGCAATCTGGATCTTGAGGCAAGAAGACAGTATGCCTTTGATCCCGGATCTTTTTTTTCTTGTAATTTTTTTATTGTTTTTATTGAGCTACACATTTTTCCCACTCCTCTTTCTTCCTCTCCTCTCCCCTTCCACATTACCTCTTGCCCCCCGCCCCCTACCCCCACATGCTCTCAAATTACCAGTCTAGTAAAAAGAGATCTAGTCTTTTTCTCCTTCCTAGGTGGATCTCTCATAGTGTCCTCTTTATTGTCTAGACTCTCTGGGTTTGTGAACTGTAGGCTGGTTATCCTTTGTTTTATGTCTAATATCTGCTAATGAGTAAGTGCATACTATATTAGTCTTTCTGGGTCTGGGTTATCTCACTCAGTATGGTTTTTTTTTCTAATTCTGTCCACTTGCCTGCAAATTTCAAGATGTAATTTTTTTTTAAACCGCTGAGCAGTGTTCCATTGTGTAGATGTATCACATTTTTCCTTATCTATTCTTGAGTGGCATCTAGGCTGTTTCCAGGTTCTGGCTATTACTAATAATGCTGCTATAAAAAAGACACAGGCTAACAGATCCGAAACAAAAACAGAATGCATCCTTCTGCTGCAAACAAGAAACATACCTCAACTACAAAGACAGACGTTACCTCAGGGTAAAGGGTTGGGAAGATTTTCCAATCAAATGGACCTAAGAAACAAGCTGATGTAGCTATCCTAATATCTAACACAAAAGACTTCAAATTAAAATTAGTCCAAAGAGATGAAGAAGGTTAATTCATATACATCATGGGGAAAATCCATCAAGATGAAGTCTCAATACTGAACATCTATGCACCAAATACAAGAGCACCCACATTTGTAAAAGGAACATTACTAAAGCTTAAATCACACACCAAAACCCACCCAGTAATAGTGGGAGACTTCAACACCCCACTCTCACCGCTGGACAGGTCTGCCAGACAGAAACTTAACAGAGAAATAAAAGAACTAACAGATGGTATGACTCAAAATGGGCTTAACAGACATCTATAGAATGTTTCATCCAAACAGAAAAGAATATACCTTCTTCTCAGCATCTTATGGACCCTTCTCTAAAATTGACCACATTCTCGGTAACAAAACAAATCTCAACTGATACAGAAAAAAAAAATGGAACAACCCCCTGTGTCTTATCAGATCATCATGACTTAAAGTTAGAATTCAACAACACTAACTGTAAAAAGGCCACAAACTGATGTAATCTGAACAATGCTCAACTGAATCACCAGTGGATTAAGGAAGAAATAAGAAAGAAATTAAAGACTTTCTAAAATTTAGCAAAAGTGACCACACAACATACCCATGCTATGTTGAGTCCATACCCAGGCTAGTAGAGTCCATGCCCATCATGGCAGTGAGGTCACGCCTCCTAATTTCCCCAAACACTTCCATCAAGCATTCAAGCATATGAGCCTATCACAAAAAGAGGGTTAGGATCCTCTTGGGTCAAAAGATGCTAAAGCTGGAAAGTAGGAAGACTAGCTGCAGCTCACGTGACTTTTCAAGGTCATTGGAGAATACTTACGTCCAAGACACTCCCATAGGGTTTTGCCGTTGTTAGTTTATTTGCCCTTGCCCCCCCATAATTGTGTTATGTTTTATGATAGGATCTTGTCGTGTTACCTAGGCTGGTTTCTCATTTCTGCACGTGAGAGACTCCCTTGCCTCAGCCCCGTAAGTGGCTGGCATGTAGACATCTCCCTCCACACTTAGCTAAAGGCCTATGCATTTTATTGTTTACTTGCTTTTATATGCATTTTAAAATTATTTTATGTTTTGCTTCAAGATTTTTTTTAGATAGGATTTCACTAGGTATCTGAGGTTGGTCTCAAAGTCCTGATTCTCGTGTCTCAATCTTCTGAGTCCAGGAATTATAGTGTTGCTTCCTCGGGAGAGGGATGAGAATGTGAGAAGGTGTCGCGTCAATGACATAGACATTGGGAGTCAGGTGTAAGTGAAACAGCAGATTCTTTTATTTAGCAATGGGGAGAACTTTATATATCCCCCAGAACCCACGCGTTCTGATCCGTTGACACAGTGTGTTTACCCCTCATTTGCTAGGCACAATCAGAACCTTTGACAGCATCAGGCTGACTCCAAGTTGGATCACCTCTCAGCCTGGTAGGCCTTACCTTTCTACCTTATAGCACCATATACAGCTGAAGCTTGTGGTTTAAAAGATATTTCTGTATGTGTAAGGGTGACAAGTCCAACTGAGAGTGCCACCCCAATGCGCTCAGTCCTGATCCTGTGACTTAGGTGATGTTGAGCTGAAGGTATGCTGACAGGACTGAGTCAAGCCGCGTGATATGGAGAGGGATGGCCATAGAGTCTGGTACATAAGACACATACTTTCATGCCCTATTTATTCTCAGTGCATCACTATCTCTGCAGAAATTGACCAACTTATTCCTGATAACTATCCCTGGCCTATCCCTGGCATCCTTGGAAGAACCTATCCCTCAGCTGCTGTAGGCTGATGTAGGAGGATCTTCTATCTATCTGTCGCTTTCATTAGTTAATTAATAAAGAAAATGGCTTGGCCTGATAGGTCAGAACATAGGTAGGTGGGGAAGACAGAACAGAATTGCGGGAGAAAGAAAGCAGAGGCAGGCAGACACCATGAAGCTCCTGCCCAAGATGGACGTAGGTTAGAATCTTCCTGGTAAGCCACCACCTCATGGTGCTACACACATTAATAGAAATGCATTAATCAAGATGTGAGAGTTAGCCAGTAAGAGGCTAAAGCTAATGGGCCAGGCAGTGTTTAAATGAATACAATTTGTGTGTTGTTATTTCGGGTGTGAAGCTAGCCATGGGGGAGCCAGGCAGGACGAAAAGCAGGCCTGCTGTAGCTACTAAACTGTTGCACTAGAAAATATTCCAGAGATGTGTTTTGGGCTCAAAAGAGCAAGGCAACCAAGTGGTCCACAGGAACTGAGGGTGGAGAAGAAAGCCAGTGAGCAAGTGACTAAGACGGCGCAAACAAATACCCAGCTCCCTGAGCTCAGGGTGGCATAGTCAGGGCTGTTCTTTATCCAGGATGAGGCTGACACTGAGCGTTCGCTGAATTCTTATTTTTTGTTCAACTTCGTCTCTGTGTCCCCATCTTCTGATCCTTGGATGTTTTTCCTGAGAGCACTCTCTCAAGAACTCTGCCACAGAAACTCTCCATTCTGGGTAACCTGACGAGTATGGACTGAATGTTCCCCTCTAGATTCTGATGTGGAACTAGAATCTGAAATGGGATGGCATTTGGAAATGGGGCCTTTGGGAGGTGACTAGGTCATGAAGATGGGACCTTGACAAAATGGGATTGGAGTCTTTACAAGAAGAAGTCAGAGAGGGAAAGGGAGAGGGAGAGGGAGAGGGAGAGGAAGAGAGAGAGAGAGAGAGAGAGAGAGAGAGAGAGAAAGAGAGAGAGAGAGAGAGACCCTCTGCCAAACATGGACACAGAAGTCGACAGTGTACCTCCTGGAATAGAGAGGGTCTCTGAAACTCAACCATATTGGTACCCTGATAATGGACTTGCTGTGTCCAGAACCATAGAAATATGTATGGTATGTATGATACACAGTGTCTATAGTGCTTTGTCATGGAAGTTTTGCCTTAGGGTTTCTATTGCTGCAATGAAACACCATGACCAAAAAGCAAGTTGGGAAAAAGGGTTTATTTGTCTTCCACTTCCATATATCACTGTTCATTATTGAAAGAAGTCAGGACAAGAACTCAAATAGGGCAGGATCTTGGGGATAGGAGCTGGTGCAAAGGTCATAGAGGGGTACTGTTAACTGGCTCGCTTCCCCTGGTTTGCTCAGCCTGCTTTCTTAAGGAATCCAGGACCAGAAGCTCAGGGATGGCACCACCCACCACAGGCTGGGCCCTCTCCCACTGATCACTAATTGAGAAAATGCCTTACAGCTGGATCTCATGATCACATTTCCTCAACTGAGGCTTTTTCCTCTCTGATGACTCTATCTTCTGTCAAGTTGACACAAAACCAGCCAGTACAAGCTTGAACTAAAATACTGATTGATTGGCTGTCATTGATCATCAACTCAGCAGGACCTACATTCTCTATATATGCGAGGGAATGCCTATATTGGGTGGAATGACTGACACTAAATTTGGCATCATCCATAGGCTGGGGTCTCACACTGAGTAAAAGAGAGGAAGTGAACTGAGCACCTGCATCCATATCTTTCTGTTTCTTGATCACAGTCGTTGAACAGGACTCTATCAGGAATGAGACTAAGGTCCATTTATTATTTATTATTTCTGAACTAAGGGTCACTTATACTATACTCTAGTGATGAATTTGACTTAATTATTTACATTTCCTCAGAACTCAAGTAAGGGTGAATTTAAAAGTAATAGGCTATTTAGTTTGGCAGGGGAAATTTTTAGAGAGAATAAAATTTATCTCTTTCTTCTTCTTGATTACAGATTAAATCTGCTTCTCGGCCCTGCTGCCACGTCTTTCCTACCATGGTGGATTATACCTTCAAACCGTGAGCCTGTAACAGAACCCCAGACCTTAGCATGATGGAAATACCATTCAGGTCATAAAACTCAACATATAGACAGTACCACCTGTCAAAATGAAAACAAAAACCAAACCCATCAAAGCTCATAGTTCTGGGAAAGTCTCTAAATGTGCTAACTGTGCCTTTTGCCTTCTAGAGTTCCACTTCAGGATAACTGTTCTTGTTAAATGAAGTATGTCAACTCAGAACATGGATTTTGTGCTTCAGAGCTCATCCTGAGAGAAGGTCAAGGCTATGCTGGTTTCTCCAGTGTAGTCTCTGACCGTCTAATAAAGACTTTCCATTGGCTTAAGCTCATGTCAGATCTGTCTTCTCTGGTGACCACCCCACAACAATTCCAAATAACTCTTTCCTTCCTAAAATTACTTTTGTTAGATATTTTTTGACAACAAGAAAAACAGCCAGTGCACCCCAAGACTCCTTCCTAATGTCTACTTCTCCAAATAGAAGAGACTTTTTTTTCTGTTGTATCTTTTCTAAATAAATATATAACAAGCTTTATGTGTCTATTATTACTTTGTGGTCTGGTTTTCTAGCATTGCATATTTATTTATATCTTGAAGGTTAGGTAACCGTAGCTTAATACATCTCTTTGAGATCTTTACATATTAAAAGGGAGGAAACACTGGTCCCTTGAGGTATGTGGGAGGCAACAGGATTTCAGTGCTTCACTTAACATAGCTTCTCCCACTTAGGGTGAGGCTCAGCAAGCACATTGTACTAACTGAAGTATTATGACTGAATTCTATCCTGACTTTAGAGAGGATTGCTTTAGGAAGTGCTGTTAGAGATATAATAGGGTAACACTTCACATTTGATTACAGATGTATTAAGATCATTGAGTTAAAAAGGAAGACATGGCTTACATGTCTAAATATAACTCACCAACTTATCAGAATGTTTTTTTGTTTTTTGTGTTTCTGTTTTTCGAGACAGGGTTTCTCTGTGTTGCTTTGGTGCCAGTTCTGGAACTAGCTCTTATAGAGCAGGCTGGCCTCGAACTCGCAAAGATCCACCTGCTTCTGCCTCCTGAGTGCTGGGATTAAAGGTGTGTGCTACCACTGCCCAGTTTACAAAGTTTTTGAAAAATATCTTTTTTATTGATTTTATTGAGCTATATATTTTTCTTTGATCCCCTCCTTTTCTCTCCCTTCCCCTTCAACCCTCTCCCATGGTCCCCATGCTCCCAATTTACTCAGGAGACCTTGTCTTTTTCTACTTCCCCTCAAATACCCTTTTCAAGGAACTGAGTTTAATGAGTTGATACTTGTGTCATGGAGGGTATTTCTTTGATCTTCTTTGGTAAGAACCTGACCTTTAGCTACTGACTACTATGCTCAGTTGGATGTGTCTCAAACCATAGTTATATATTAGAATTTTTTTTTTGAGACAATGTTTCTCTGTTGTGTCCCTGGCTGTACTGGAACTCCCTGTGTAGACCAAGCTGGCCTTAAACTCACAGAGATCCTACCTCTGAGTGCTTGGATTACAGATGTGTGAATTCTATTTAGTTTCAAGCCATAGTGTTTGCAATGTTCTAGACTTTGAAGAATGTGAAAACACCAATTTTACATTGAAAATTGATTTTCTTGTTTTTAGTCATATGTGTAGATGTGTGATGTGATGTGAGTCCAGATACACAAAGAGACAGAAGAGGGTGTTCGGTCACTTGGAGTTAGAATTAAAGGCGGTTGTAAATCAGGCAATGTGGGTACTGAAAAGTGAAGATGGGCCCTTTGCAAGAACAATAAAAGCTTGTAACCACCAAGCCATCATTCCAGATGCCATAATTTTGCCTTTTAATGCTCATATTAAAATATCCTTTAATTGCTTCTTGCATGATTAAGAAACAGGGAAACTAGCTTTCTATCTAGATTCTGGAAAAAAAACCATAGTGACATGGGACTCATAAGCCATTATAATTGAGTCACTAAGTCATTAAGGCTTAGGTGCAAAACAAATAGTTACTCAAACTGAGTAGTCTGAGAACACAACAAAGGCTTGTTTAAAGGTGGGTAGACAGTGTGCGGAAACTACAAAATAAAGAGGGATTTCCTTGGACTGACATTTACTGGGTGTGCCTGCAATCCTGAAGGAGCCAGATGAAGGAGAAGTAATGGAATCAGATAGCCAGTATTCTGTGGAAAGGTCTGTTTGAGTGAGCTGGAACTTCAGGGAAGCAAGGACACAACCAGCTGTGAGAACTCCTCCAGAGAGATTCTGAAGAATCCTCACTCTTGGTATCTCTGATAGATTGCTGCTATTCCCCATGGGTCACATGGTATGGAAGCTAGAAGTCAAGTGATCCTCTGGAGGGAACTGATAAAGGTTAGGCTCAAAGGACACAGAGCAGTAGCAAGAAGGATGGAAAGGGGCATCTCGGAGAGCTGAATAAAAAAATATCTACCACAATTAGCAACTTTCTCCTGTGCCCAGAACTTATATTGTATAAGTTGCCACAGTCACTCTCTACCATGCCCAGACCAACAGCTGAATATCAAGTTGCCATCTCATCATCATAAGTACCATTGTTTTTCATAGAATACAATCATTATTTGTCGATAGATCCACAAAAAATGAGTCAGGATGCAAGAGGACAGGATTTTTCAAGAAAACAAAGGAAGAATATGATTTTGAGCTTAATGTGTATACAGAACACATTCTGATAGTCTTTAAAAATAATTCTGGGACTGAGAGATTCCTCTGTGGTTAGGGGTACTTGCTGTTCTTGCAGAGGACCCAAAACTCTCAGCTATTTTTCCAGCACCATGTCTGCCCACATGACACAGTGTTTCCCACCATGATAATAATGGATTAAACCTCTGAACCTGTCAGTCACCTCAATTAAATGCTTTCCTTTATAAGAGTTACTATTGCCATGGTGTCTCTTCACAGCAATAGAACATTAACTAATAGAGAAGTTGGTATCAGAAGAGGGATATTGCTTTGATAGGCCTGACCATGATTTGTGGCAGAATGTGGACTTCGGGGTTTTGGATTAGGAAAAAAGTTGCATGCTTTAAGTGGGAACTAATGGGACATACTAGTAGGAGCAGAGAAGACAGTGGTGCTGAGAGCAATGTAGATGGTGATGGCCTGACTCAAGAAGTTTCAGAGGGAAAGAATATTAGGAAGCAATCTAGAATTTGTTTTTGTTATATTTTTATAAAGCATGTGACTGTTTTCTGTCTTTGTACAAAAATTATGCCTCAGGCCATATTGAAGATTTTTTTTGGATTAACAGCATTGACAGAGGAAATTTCAAAACAGCTTAGACTATTATGTGGTTATTAGTGGCCAGTCTTAAGCAGATCTATAATGAAGAGAAGCAAACTGAGCAAAGAAAAATACAAAAAGTACAGTTTGAGGAGAAAAGGGGAACCAGGAACTGTAATGGAGCTAAGTTCTGCATTCAAGGAGATAAGCATATTAAAAGAAAAGCCTAGTGCTATATGGAATAAAGGGAGTGATGACCTCAGGGGAAGACCCCCACTCAGCTAAACTTCCAACTTGTGAAAGGAAATTAAAGAAAAGTTTAGGGTTCAGTGTGGTGTCACACACCTTTAATCCCAGCACTCAGGAGGCAGAGGCAGGCAGATCTCTGAGTTTGAAGCTAGGCTGGTCTACGGAGCAAGTTCCAGGACAGCCAAGTTTAGGCAGTGAAGGCAACCATCAAAAACAGAGAATTAGTGAAAATGTGTTTGAACAAGGGGAACATATTCCAGCCCCAGCAAGCAGAAAAACTTGTAGTTTGACTACATGGTTCTGGGTTTAGAGTTAAAGATGGAAAAAAGAGGTTGTGGAATATCCCGCCGTGACCAAGGAAAGCTGCTGAGGCCAGATGTGTGTCAGAGGTGTTCCTTCATGAAGGCCTTGAGAAGCCATTGCATGAAGCTGTTAAGGTAAAGCCTGGATTGTCCTGGAGACTCCAAAATGTTGGAGATGCCAGATAATGGAATATGCTAACAGGAGTGGATCCAGCTCAAAGAGAAAAGTGTGCTGTAGTCAACAGAGATGGAAGGAGTTGGAGATTTGAAGAGTACATTGACATAAGACATGGAGATGCAGGGTTTGGAGTTCGCCCAGCTGGTTTTTGGACTTGTTTGGTCTAGCATTTCCTCACTGTGCTTCCTTTCCATCCCTTTGGAATGGTAATGTATATTCTGTGTTATTATGTGAAAGTATGTGATCCGCCTTTTGATTTTACAAGGTATGTTAGTTAAGAGATTGCGTGCGTCTCGGAAGAGACTTTGATGACTTTGGACTTATAAACATTGTTGAGACTCCTATGCAGTATGGGGACTTTTGAAGTTGGACTGAATGCAGTTTTGGATTATGATATGACCACAAGCCTATGGGTCTCAGGGTGTAGAATGTGGTGGTTTGAATGAAAATGCCCCCTTTAGGCTCGTTGGAAGTGGCACTGTTAGGATTTGTGACCTTGTTGGAGGAAGTTTGCCAAAGAGGGTGAGCTTTCTTTCTGCCGTCTGCCAATCCATATGTAGAATTGGATTTGCTCTGTGAAGAGTCTGTATGTGCCTTCTACCCCTGGTATTCTCAACCACTAGTTAGAACAGCCTGTAGGGATCCTGATCTTCATACAAACCTCGCGATGTTCTCCCAAACACAGTATTGGGAGCCTTTGGGTCATCCAATTCCCGACAACTAGAGGAATCCGAGGCATGTGGTAGCAGCTGGTGCCTGCAGCTCACCATTTTAAGATAAGGGAATGAGAAAGGGAATGTTGAAATGGGTTGTAGGTGAAGTATTTGGGTTCAAGTTAAAATTGCGGGTTTTCTTATAGCTAAGAAATGTTTAGCATATTTTAAATATACAGAGAAAACTACTCGCATCAAAATTAAAGGTAGGAATGAAGTGGGGAAAGAAGCAAGGAGAGAGGAGATGTGGCAGAGGAAGGAAAGAGAAGGAGCGCGGAGGAGATAAGAAAGAGAAGAAGAGGTAGAAGGAGAATAAAGGGCATGGAATATAGGAAGCAGCTCAGAGGGGAGTTAGGAGGAAAGGGGACGCTTGGTTATGGCTTTGAATTCAGGCCATGATGTCTTATCCTCTTAGTAAACTGAACATGGGTTAAGTTTACGTTGCGGGTAGTTGGTGAGAATTGTACTTAGTTATCTATTACTAAGACAAAATAGGAAACAATGTATCAAGAGGCAGCAGGGAGAGTGGCTGGGAATAGGAGGCTAAACAAGACGCAGGGAGGATGGAGCAGATAGGGCTCTTCTGTAGGCTGAACCACGTCAAGGGAGAGGAAAGCTGATGACCTTGGCGAGTACAAGAAGTGGGAGGCCGGGTCACTTACTGCAAAGGTATTTATTTTATTGGCCACTCTTCTCACATGACAAAATTCCACACACAATCTATAACAAAATCACATTTAGTATATTAAAATTAACACTTCAAATATACATTAAATAATTATTACATAAGTCTCTCACAGGTATCTGTCCATTTCTTTGAATATAAACCAAAGCTGAAATAGTCTCTTGCTCTAATTTGGGATTTTTAAAACCTAACATTTACACTGAATCTGTGCTACTCTTAATCACAGAAAATTACTGGGAATGCAGTCAACATTTAACCTATATTTGATTCCAAAGTTAACACACAGTCACTTTTGAGCCATGAAATTTGTATCTAGTGATAAAAGAAGTTCATCAGAAGGATGCATGCTGACTAATGCCACCGAAGTACTCCCAATCAAGGACTGTCTGAGATGAGTCATTTCCAACCCAGGAGACTCAGAGCCCTGCAGCCTATAAATTGAGCTGTAGAAGCTGACATTTCTAACATTTCAAAACACTTAATAGAAACCCTGATTCTAACCTTCTGAAGACTTGGAGCTACTTTACAGATTTTCCAATCTGTGTGTACACGTTCCTACGCATGTGCGGGCAAATATGTGTGGCATCCAGAGCATAACCTTTACTGTTGTTCCTCAGTTGCTGTCCATCTCCTAGGACAAGAGTCTCTCTTTGGTGTGGAACTCACCAATTAGGATACACAGGCTTACCAGTGAACCCCAGGGGTCCTCCGATCTCTGCCTCCCTGGCACTGGGATGTAAGTACTGGTCACCACACATGATTGTCACCTGGGGTTTGTTGATTGAATTCAATCTTTGCACTTGCCATACAAGCATTTTACCAACTGAGTTATCTCTCTATCCCATACAATTCTTGACGTTTAAAAAAATTCACTGTGGGGGGATCACTTTTCAGAAATTCCATTGGATCTTTGCAATTTACATATACAATATATTAATCAGTATTTAATCAATGATTTAAAAGAAAAAAGAAAAAAACCCTCTGAAGTGTGAATCTGAGATGGGGGTAGTGGAAAATGTTGAGATAAACGTAGTTGAATCTTATGTTATAAGAACATTGGAGGGTAATGAATATTGCCAAGGTAGCATCATGATCACTAAGAGAGTCAGCATTAGGATTGACTAATTTCAAAAAATATTCTCTAATCTGTTATCTTCTTGGATGTTGAGCATTGCATTTTGGTTTGGTGCTTCATGTTCTTAGCATTCAAAAGCCGGTGCTTTATAGTCCGGAGGAGGTGGTGAGGAATGCGTTTCAATGGGGAGCCCCAGGCCAACCACTGGGATTTATTGCCTTGTGTTCCTTCTGCTGAACAACTTTCTAGTAAAGCGGGTATAAACATCACTAGGTCCTTCAGAAGCAGTTGACCACAAAACACAAAAACTCTCATAGAGGTGTCACAGTAAGGAGCTACCATAAAAAGGAGAGCGAGCATCAAGGTTCTTTCTCAATGTTCACAATTGGCTCCCTCCGTATCTCTAGTTAACAATGGTATCTAAACAGAGTCCAGGATTCAACCATGTGTGCATGAATCCACAAAAGAAGACTTCCTTTAGACTCTTGTGCAGGTTAATCTTAGATGTTCAGCAGAACGTAAGCATGCTTAGTGAATCATTGACTTGATTTCACAGCAAACACTTCGAGACTAATGTATCGCTCCTCCATTGCCTTTCAGAAACTAGAGGAGATAGCTCCGCCTTTTCTGGGTAGGTAATTTGAACAAGCGCTGTAAGGGCTGTGGGATTAAAAATAAGAATCCCTTCTGTGTAGTCTTCTTTCTTCTTCCTCTGGGATGGCTTTCTTTTTTCTTTATTTCATTAAAAATGGACAGGATAGGGAAGAGTCCCTGATGGTTGTCTAAAAAAAAATAGTGCCTTCATAAGCATAAATGGGATCCTTAAGCCAGATGTGGCGGCTCATGTCTGTTGTCAAAGCACTAGGGAGGCTGGGGCCGGAAGATGGCCTGAACTGCAAAGTAAGAACACCCTGCACAACAGAAAATGGAAAGAAAGAAAGGAGATAAAGTCTTATATCTCACTGCCAATCTTCTGACATAGTAAAGAGTTCATTTTCCGAGTTTAAAATTTCAAATTTTTATAAAGAGATTGAAATTTCATTTTGTGTGCTCATTTTTTTCCATGATACCCAAGAACATTCCAATTAAAATTCATGTTGGTCACAGCAGGATGAACAGCCCCGAGTGCTAGTCATTGTCATAGATGCAACCTGAGAGAAAAGAAAACTTTAATTAGTTCACTCATCATTTTTATATGTCTGTGTGTGTGTGTGTGTGTGTGTGTGTGTGTGTGTGTGTGTGTGTGTGCAGGTACATATGCACGTGTTTGTGAAGGTTGGAGGACAATCTCTAGCAACATCCTCAGGAACCACGTGCTTTCTCTGAGACGGGATCTCTCATTGGTTCCAGTCCCACTAATCAGAGGGACAAACTGTCTTTCTGTCTCTCCTCCCCACCCCCAGGACTGGGGTTACAAGCACTTGCCACTGTGCCTGTCATTTTCCTGTGTATTCTAGCCAGCATGCGCCTGTCATTTTCCTGTGTGTTCTAGCCAGCAGACTCAGGTCCTCATGACTGCAATAGAAGCTTCACCTACTGAGTCATTCATTCTTCTAGCTCCCTATTAGGGTTTTGGAAACAATTCTTCATGAAACTCAGCGGCTCTCGAACTCAATAGATCATCAAACTGGACTTTCAACTCCTGAGCCTCCTGCTTCCATATCCCAAAGTGCTGGCTCTGCACCACCACATCTGGCCATAAAAATTTAAATGCAGATTATATACAACATGCCCTAAATTAGAAACCTGAGGAACTCAATCTCTCCCTAATTAAGATTTAGAAAAATAGTAAAACTTACTTATTTTATATTAAGAAGACAAACAAAACTAGTTAAACGAAATGTGATATACTCCACTTCTGTACTGGTTAGTTTTATGTCATCTTGACACAGACTGAGTCAACACAGAGGTGAGAGTCTCAGTTGATAAACCTCTTCCATAAGATTGCAGGCAAGCCTGAGGAACATTTTCTTAATTAGTGATTGAAGGCAGAAGGCCCAGCCTATTGTGTGTGGTGCCCTCCCTGGGCTGGTCATCCTGGGTTCTACAAGAAAGCAGGCTGAGTAAGCTATTGGGAGCAAATCGGTAGGCAGCGCCCCTCCATGGCCTCTGCATCTGCTCCTGTCTGCAGGCTTCTGTCATGTTTGAGTTCCTGTCCTGACTTCCTAACTAAGACACCTTCATTGATAGCCCAGTTTCAACAACATTCCTAGACAGATTTATTTTTCATTAAATGAGACTGAAGATTAATTTTTCTGGCATCATATTACTTTTTTGGAAATGAGATTAGTTAAGCATCGACAAGTTTCTTAAGCTAAAGACTAAAGGGTTGGAGCTGGGTGGTGACTATCAGAAAAGCATTTGCTTGCAAGTTACAGGAATAGGTTTGATTGCCAGAACTGATGTAGAATACAAAACAACAACAATAACAACCTGGATGATGTCAGATATGGTGGCAAACACCTTTATCCCAGCAGTCAAGAAGCAGAGGCTGGTGGAGTTTTGTGAGGTCAAGGCCAGCCTGGTCTAGATAGCAACTTCCAGGCCAGCAGAAGCTATGTATGTAGTGAGACCTTTTCTCAAACAAAACAAAACAAAACAAAACAACCCCCCCTCTCTCTTCCTTTCTCTCTCTCTCTTTCACACACACACACACACACACACACACACACACACACACAGGCCAAAGGGCTATGTGATAACAACTGGGCACGTTTTATTGAGATTAATGTTTTAAATCATCATTTAAAAATACCTGATGATTTTAGTAGTGTTATGAAATGTGTATCTGTTTGTTGATCAAAGATTTGTTAGTCACATATTTTAGCATTTGTCAGCTTTACACTTGTTCATTTAGGATTTATTAATTTCATATTTTATAGGCTATAAAAATCTATTGTTAACTTCTTGGGCATTATGGTTACTGTGGCATAAATATTGTTAGCTTTAGAATAAGCTACCTATTAACTAAGAATGCATTTCTCTGATAAAAAAAAAAAGCTCAGCAACTCTTAACTCATGCTACAATACAAAATTTACCAAACAGTTCTCCCTTCCCTCCACTCCTTTTCACTCCTTCCGTCTCTTCCCTGTTCTGTTGTTCTTTACCCGGGGCCTCATGTAGCCTAGGCTTGCCCCAACTTTCATTGTGTAGTTAAGTTTGGCCTTTAACTTCTGATCTTCCTGCCTCTACCACCCAAGTGCTAGGATTACAGGTCGGAACTACCATGGCTGTCTTATACTTCTTATTCTGGAGAATAAATACACTTTTATTTTCACTTAACTTCCTAACCATGTGTGAAGATGAACCCCTTCCTCTCTCTACAACACCGGATCATTACTTTCCCTCACATTTTAAAGAAACTCAAATTCTGATCGTATCTGATGGCTCTAAGTCAGTAAGCTGTTTTCTCAGTTACTGTGGTGGGAGCTGCATAAGACTTACCATCAGCAATGTCATCATAGATTTCTCCATCACTGAGAACACATAAAAAGCACAATTTTTATTGTTTAGAAAATATCGTCCCAACATTAATATATAGAAGCTAGCAGTAATACGATTGCTGTATATCAGAATCACGCGAGATAAAGAGAGGCTATGAGGTGCATGTGTAAGTGGACAAAGATTTTTACATCAATCTCTAGCTCTTCTTTCCCCGGCTTTATTGACTCCTAGTTCATTCTACAAACGGAATAATAGACACATGTTTTGAGAGCACAGATCACGCCCTACTTTGAGCACTGCCATGGGCATAGGCCCCCTGAATCCCTAAGAACTGGGTACAGAACTAAACAAACTGAACTGCCAAGGCAAAACCTTCATCCAGGGGCCTCAATCCAAAAGTGCAATGAATTTTGACAGTTATTATTACTAGATCTATACCTTTACTTGCATTTCAAATGTTTTAAATTTTAAATGAATGTAATATATTTATTTGGCATGGAAAATGGCTATATTGTTTTCATGTGTTTCTAGTTATGGTGCATGCATATCAAGTTCAAAGTATTTACATACTAATTATGGAATATATAGTCATAGAATTTTCTTATATTACTTATTGTGAAGATTACATCCACTGCAGTAATTTTGGCTACTTTTATATGCTTTTAGGTTTTGCTTTGCCCTGCAGCTTTATGAAATATTTCATTAACAAACACTGAGTTGTTCTCATATGCTGGGAGACAACTATGAGTCAGATGTAAGCTTTGATTGTAAGGGTGCAGAGTCTAATGAGTGATTTATAAACAATATAATAATATATTATGATTATGACCATAATCTTGAAATGGAGGATGCAGTGCCCAGCTTCAGAGCTGTGAGAAAGCTGCATCACTTAGCGTGGACATGCTTTTGGTTCCTGCCCTATCCCTGGGCTTTATCGCAGCAGCAGCAGCAGCAGCCGGTCCCTTGCTTCTGCCTCCTGGGGAAGATGCTACAGGCTCCCTATGTCTTCTGTTTGGATCCTGTCTCTGAGGCAGAGGGAGCATTTGTTTAGTGGAAATCTGACGTGAATGCAGAGGACAGATTTTCCTACTGTTTATTCCACAAATGTTTACTGATGTCTGCATTTTAATAGGCAGCAAGCCAATAGTCACTGAGTGCCCTTTCTCCATTTTCTTTTAACCATCCTGCAGTCATCACAGATGAAGATGTGTTCCTATCTGTGACACGTTCTTCCCAGAAAATCTGCATCTTTCTTAAAACAAAGCCTATCAGATATCCCGTGCCCACCACTGTAATACATATGCTGAAGAAGACACAGATGTTAGGGCCATTTCCCTGTTTGCTCTCTATTGGTTCGCTAACTGAACTCTTAACATGCAATGCCCTATTCACATGGGTGTCCTGCTGCTTATGGTAAAAGGGTTACCTTTTACCTTGATTCTTTCATTATGCCTGTTTTTACAAATATAGTGGAGTTAATTTTCTGCTCTGCGTGTCTTGCTGCAGAATCTTAAAGTGTTTTAGAGGAATCCAAGGGCTTACAAGTACCAGGCTGTGACAGACAGTGGAAAGGTCTTATTCATAAGAATACAGGAGTCATTGATTACTATCTCTTTTGAGAGGGCATACTGTCAACAAGGCAACATAAGAAAGCACTATGCTTGGTGTGAGTATAGAAAAATCTTCAGTTAGGAGCTAAACTATGAACTATTAACTGACGATATTAGTACCTGCGACACACACCATTTGGCTCTAGCTAGTTCCATTCTAATACTATAATAATTAATAAACAAAATGCAAACAATTAGTGGAAAGGGTAGTGTTTTCCTTGTGTGTCTTCAGGGTTTGCTGAACAGACAGCTCAGTGAGTATATAAGACTATTCACCATGAGTCAGCCAGACTTTCTAATTCAGACGAGAATATTCAGCGTTGTTATTTGGACTACTGTATTGAAACAAATATTATACATTGCTCAACCCATGGCATCCTGGAAACGGCTCCTTAAGGAAATCATAAGATTCTCTTAACAAATACAGTAGTAATAGAAGAAAATGATGGCCTTACTTGTCCGCCAGGTAACTCCGAAGAACATAGCCATCTGTAAAGGGAAAAAGGAAATGTATTTCATTCCAGATAGAGCTTTGAAAATTATTTAATGTCTAGTTCCAAAAGTTGACATACAAGTGAATAATTATAATAAGTTAATATGCTGAGGGACTAGAGAGATGGCTCAGCGATTAAGGGCCCCTTCTTATCCACAGCACACAGTTTGATGCCCAGAATCATATAAAATAGCTCATAACTGCCAGTTCCAGGAGATCTTATGCCCTATTCTGGCCTCTTCAGGCACCCACTCATGACACAGCCACACAGAGAGATTTTTTTAAAAATCTTTAAAAAGATAATATATTGAACAATTATATCTATATAGAACATGCTCAGAGGGTAATTTGATTATGTTTATGCCCGTGTTACCCACGCTTATTTCCCCCTCCTCTTAGCATCTATCACTGATCCCTCCCCTAACATATGTTTTTCTTTTTATAAATTTTTTAAAGACAGAAAAAAAAGGTAACGTCACTATGGTATTTTCACACATAAATCCTTACATTTTTGTCTTTTTTCTTTCCTTCTCTGGCATTTTCTGTGTCTCTCTTGATGATTCCCTCACGCCTTCCAAAGAGTCTCCCTTCTGTTTTCTTGTCACACAAATTCCATTACCCCTTTCTTTTTCCAAGGTCCCTCTTTCCCTTCCTATGCTCTTCTTCCTAGGCCTCCTTCCCATAAACACATTTAGATATCGGTTCTACATATGAGAGAAAACATGTGGCATTTATCTTTCTGAGTTGGGTTTATTTTATTTAATATAATCATTTTGAGGTCAGAAGATGACTGGCAAAAATCTGTCCTCTTCTATGTGAGTTGCAGGGATTGAAATCAGGTTGCCAGACCTTAGCAGTATACACCTGCTAAAATTATGATCTGTTGGTAAAGACTAGACTTTTTCTAATATTAAATGTCTCCATTAAAAAGATCCCCAGGAAGATTATGAGAAATAAAGTTTGTGAAATGAAAACTAAAGATGATTTAACCTCCTTTTTGAAGATTAAGATTATTATTTGCTGATGCTTTTAGGTAATTCACTTTTCAATTAAATTACTTTTAATTTAAAACACAATTATGATAAAAATTCGCAGAACTGGATAAACCACTACTAACAGTCCCTTACATAGTCAAAGTTAATAATTAATAATACACAGCTAATTATCTCACTTTTATGAGTTAATTATAAAAACTATATTCTCTTATACTCTCAAGAGTTCTACATAACATCTTTATCTTCTGTTGATGACGCCTTTGCAGATACTATTGTTTAATTCTGTTATTTTTCCTTTCCCTCTCTCTGTCTCTTCTTCGCTGTGCATGTGTGAGGGGAGGAAGGGAGGTATCAATGACTGAGTATTTAGGAAAATGTAGGTGGTCACATGTGGGATGAGGCTGTCCCACCCTATTTTAGTTCTTTGATCATGTGATGATGTGGGGCTCACTAACTATAAAATCACTGACTTAGTGTTTTTACAGGATTACTGACTTTTAACATCGCATGGGCTTTGCTGTCTAGCACTTCAAATGCTAAGACTGTATTCTGTTCAAGGACGGTGCACGATAGAGTCAAAATAAGTGACTTACTATGGATTGTTATGTAATCTTGGCAGTATAGTTTCTAGAAATTCTTTTTTACACAGGAAGAAAATGTCCTCATTGTTCATATGGTTCACGCTCACTTACCAATATGAGATAGCAATAGAAAATACAAAAGAACCCACAAAACGGAACAAAGTCATGGTTATGGTGTAGAACGGCCGCTATGTTTAGCCTTGCAATATTAGGAAGCTGATATGCCCAGGATTCTCACATGACACATAAAGTTGTTATTTGGAAGACTCCCGCTCACAAAGCAGATCACAGTGGCTGGAACAAATGTCTTGGAATATGTGGTGAGGTAGAATAGTTAAGAATGTAACACCCATCCCCCATATGTGCCCGTCAGTTTCCTCCTAAAATGTTTGCTTGCCATGGGGTAGATGTGTCCCAGGACTAACAACTCACCCGTGAGAGGACATTAGAAATATGGAATTTCCAGGGAAATAGATAATAGCCTTGAAAAAATAGAAATAACTTGGTTTTGTAGTTTTCAATTTTTCCTTAATTGAAATGGCATCTATTACCTATTTGCTGAATGTGTTGTATTTGCAGTTAAAAACATATAATCGTATTGTGTGGACTTGCTCAGACAAGTGAACCAATGTCAAACTTGGGGAATGACAAGGGAAATGAGATACAGTGAGTGGTGTCTAAAACTGAATGCAATTTATTATTTTGGTTTTCACAAGAACTAATCTATCTCCTTTTCTTCTCTGTCTCTTTGTATTGTTTCTGAGTCTTTCTTCCAGAATGACTTTACACATTTTATTCATTCATTCATTCATTTAATTTGATTTTTACTACTTTTGAGGTGAGTTTTCACTACATTGCCCAGGCTGTCCTTGAACTCCTGGTTTCAAGTGCTGTTCCTCAGTTAGTCTCCCAAGCACTGGGATTTTAGGTGTGTGCTAACACACCTGGTCCAGACTGACTTTTGAAGTTGAATAAATTTTTTCCGATGAGCATGCATTGTTAAAAAAAAAAAAACTAAGCAAAACAAAGAAATGATCAACTAGCTTTGTGACAATGTCCAGCTCTCAGAAATCTCTTTCTCTGGTGCCAAAAGGAAACAGAACATTATAGCCCAAATAACTCCTTTTTCACGCCTCAGGTTTTTTTTTCTTTTTTTTTTTTCTTTTTTGTAGGAAGTTTTCTCCAGTGACAGGAGGTGGGAAAACTCTCAGCTCATGAGCATCAGATTGTGGAACGTGTGCAAATATTAGCTAGCAATTTTAAACGTTTGAAAATGTGCCAGAAATATACATATATATTTAAGATATCACTGTCTACACAGTTCACACTTGCCGAGTGTCCCTGGGTGAGACCCGACTAACGTCTACACTAGAGGCTTTTGCTCCACATAGTGACAAAGAGATTGCCCTTTGTGCTTTAACCTCTCGTTTGCTCGCTATAGGTCGTGTTCTTTTCTGTGGTAGCTTGAAGAAAAACGGAGAGGGAGGAAAACATTAGTCATGCTGGTACTGAAGTGCAAAACACCATTGTTGGTCATGAGGAGATGTAAAAATAAGGAAGGAACAGATTTAGAGTCCTTAATGATTCACAAGCCAACAGTGCTTATCGGGCCAAGCCAGAGAACTGTCTGTTAACCAGTCAAACTATTCAGCAGACCTTTATGTGAGAGTTTATATCGGACTTTTTATCTGATCGTTGCACTAGACATCTAGAACATTCCTTTGAATTTACCAAGCCCCACTCTAAGTTTGAGACACTATACCAGTGCCGACAATCCAACATCCAGAACACTTCACTGAAGTTCCATGGGAGCTCGAAGCCTAAGAGGAGCAGCACATTTGTGAAACAAAGCACCCACAAGTCAAAGTGGTGCAGTTGAGGAGAGACGCAGCCCGCACGGGTGCCTGAAAGTAAGGAGTAAGGATGCTTCCAATTTAAGATGGTCACTAAGTTGTTTTCAGTGGACAATTATGCATTCCAAGTCAAAGAAAGTAGCACAGTGGGATGAACCGGCATAATTTATTCAGGGAATGACAAACACGTCCTTTACTCTTGGATGTCCGTGCTAGACAGCAAACTGCAGTTGCTGTCCGTGAGGCTGGATCACGGAGGGCGTTTAGTATATGCTATTCTAAAGACAGTGTGGGTTCTTGAAAACATTTGGCTCACATAGGAGTGGACTGGCTGAGAATGTGGGAAAGATGGATACCATTTGTAGGGCCATTTGTGATGACTGAGAGGCGGGAGGGATACATTTCTATAGCAACCATTCCAAGGCCTAGTGAGTGTGTGGAGAATAGATCAGACATGAAGGAAATTAAGAATGGTCAAGGATACCAGCCAAGAAACGGATTTCACACATATTATGAAAAGTAGGAAGTTTGAAAAGTCAAAAAGTAAAATTAAACAGTTAAAAAGTAAAATTATCCTGAGATAATAATCTGAAAGTCAGTCTCTAATACTCTTGGTGCCCCTCCCTCTCTAATGACTTGAGTACCCACCGGTCCAAGTTTCTGCCAATATTTAACCATTTGTTCTATTTATGAAAAATTTTTCTCTATGGCTTCCAGAACTCTCTGTTAGCTTGCTCCACATCCTGAATTCCTTCACACCTTTCTAGGATCAGTTTGTAATCTTCTGTTTAACTTACTGAATACAGACCCAATTTGCTTCTTACTTGGTGGGCTGGTACCTGGCAGATGACACAACAGCATTAGAGCTCAATTATTTAGATGCTGGCCATTGGATAACAACACTGCCTTCTCTAACCGTCTCATTTCAAATTTACTTTGTTTGACTTTTAACTGTGCGTATGTGTGTGTGTCTGCATGGGTTTATGTACACAAGGGTTCAGGTGCCTGTGGAGGCCAGAAGAGGATGGTGGATCCCTTGGAGCTGGGTTTACAGTTGGTTGTAAGCTGCTTGATGTAGGTGTTGGGAGCCAGACTTGGGTTCTCTATAAGAGCAGTAAGAACTCTTAACTCCTGAGCCATCAATCTCGTCCCACACTGTAGGCATCTTTGAAATGAGCAAGTCAAACTAAAACAAAGTACAACCTAAAGAAAGTCTTTATGATGAAGGAAAACACCCTACCAGAGTATAAGAGATACTGCATAGTCATTCTGTTTGAGCTAACACTTTCAGAGTACCTAGAACTGAAGCAGCTATCAGTGAGTTCAGAAATCACAAATACACACATTAGTGCGAAAGAAAATTTGCATAAAATTCTGATTGGAATGCATCCAAAATTTGTGCCATGTTTCTGCTGTCATTTCAAGCCTGTATTCTGCCTCTGAGTGACACTCACAACCTCCACTCACTGTCATTGTTACAAGATGAAAACGGAACGCTGAGGGCCAGAGAAATAATTTTCCCAAGGGAACAGCACACCAACTGATTATCCAACACCAAATGGTCACCCCTGAAAACATGCATGCATATAATGTTAATCAGACCGAGCAGGTTGTAGTCACACACACACACACACACAGACACACACACACACACACACACACAGAGGGAGAGAGAGAGAGAGAGAGAGAGAGAGAGAGAGAGAGAGAGAGAGAG